CATTATATCTTGATAAGGTATAACTAGCAATTCCTGGTTTCAGTATGAATGATTACCCCTATTTCATCTTCTCTCTTTCAGTCTTTTGTTTTCTGCCAATGTCATTGTTCTTCTGAGATTTAGGATGGGAATACTTTTGGAGCATCCATACAATTTTTTGTAATTGAATAATAAAATATGACTTCACACCAACATGCAATATTGTAGCTTAGAGTGTAACTTGTAAATGTCATATTCTTATCTTGAATTTCATATGATTTTTATCAATACGTAAATCCAAAGTTTATGACCTCTTTCTTATCATTACAGTAGCATACTATAGAATTTTAAGCATTGTTTCTTCACAATATCTAACGAAAAAGTAACATTTGAAAATCTCTGACCATGAATGTCAGTTATTTTTTGTTTATATTCCTCCCAAGTATCCAGAGTTTTCTTGGATGACTTTAGGTTCCTACCATTCTCTGAATACATGAAGTGCAACTTTGGTAACATCAGGAGAAGAGTCAATGGAATAGTTGAAATAGATATATATGAAAACTTAAAAATATAAAATAGAAGTTTGATATCTTGGATTTATTATTCAACAAGTTAGAGAGATTGAACATATTACTAATAAAATTGGAATGCAATGGTTACAATTGTGGGCTGTCTGCATTGTTATGCGATCAAGCTACTTATACTAAGGGGAATATTGTAGGCAGGGTTCTAAATCTTGGGCACTGGACCTGTACCAATCTATGGTCAGACCAATATGGGTCCGGTTGCAGTTTATGTTCTGCTCATGCTTCTAGTGTTAGATCAGCCTTTGTCAGAGAGAGTGCTGTAGAACCTGAGTGAATAATGTAACATTTATGATAATTTGATGCATGGGGATTTGAGGCATCATAAATCAAAATGATGGGAGTGTCACACACTGGCTGACCTTTTCTCTGGCATATTTAGACAAAGGTTGGTATCTTGTGGGAGTATCATAAATTTAAATGTATTGGTTGGCCAGTCTGCCATTGTTGGTCTAAGCAAATAATGTTCCACATATTTGAACTTGGTTGTTTTCTGTCTCTGCATTTCTACTGTAGTTTTGCATATTGTTTTTAAACTTGCTCCTTTAAACCAACGAAAATTTATGATTGCTTGTTTTAATGTATGATTTGTCTTTTTCGTACATGGACTAGACACATGCACTTTGTGTATTTCTATTATTAAACATTACCTCTTTGCTTCTTACTCAATATGCCAAAGTAATTTAGTTTTATTGTTCTAGTTACTGTTGATAGTTCTTATTAGCAACAACTTGCAGGTAGTACACTATATCTTACAAACTATGGACCCTGGCAACTTGGTCATGCGCAAGGCTTGTCTTAATAGCTCCATGATTGCTTTAAGAGAAGTTGCACGCGTATTTCCAATGATTGCTTTAAATGAAACTTCTACACGACTGGCTGTTGGGGATGCAATTGGAGATATAAGCACTGCTACTATTCGAGTATATGATATAGACAGGTATGAATCTGTTATTTTATTATTCATTTCTTTGATCTATGAATCTCTTAATTTTCAATCAAATTCTAATATCAATGACCTATTGCATTCCCAAAGTCAATGCTTTATGGTGCTACAGAATAAAAAAAAAATAAGTGCAATCTCGAGCACTTTAGCAGGATGCTTTGTCATGTCTATTCTTTTATATGATATTGCATGCAAACTAATGCGATTTCCTGATCCTTGAAATCAATGTTCTTTATTTAATTTAACCTGATACCATTTTATTCATCTTCATTTTAGTGTTTCAAAAATAAAGATTTTGCATGCTAGTGTTTTTTTGTTTCTTTTTAATTTAAATTGATACTATCTTATTCATCTTCATTGTAGTGTTTCAAAAATAAAGGTTTTGGATGCTAGTGGACCACCAGGTCTTCCAAGCTTACTTGAAGAATCATCGAAGTCGAGGATTACTACAGTGATCACAGCTTTGACATTTTCACCAGATGGAGAGGTGCATTTATCTGGATCCTTAACATGATTTTCTGCACACAATTTGATGTCCAAGTTGTTTTGGAGTCTTTTCCTGTTGTATCCATAAATACTGTTGTTGGAACATGCATTGCAATGGTAGCTAATAGGTGGTCTCGAGCTTGTAATGTTATATTTTTGTGTCTGGCAGATAATTGGTTTACATTGGCACTGATGTTAAGTTTAAACATTATTCACCAAGCTAATTATTTTCTTTAAAATTTCCCAATGTTATTAGGTTAAACTCTTGATTCCATCAAATATCATGTGACTTCTTCTATCTGCTTTCTTCAGAACTTGCTACAATTTTCCACGACTTTCTTTTGTTGAAGTTTTTGGTCTTTAAAAAGTTGATGTGTGCTCTTGTTCTTTCGGTAATGGTGCTTCTTGTCTGCTCTCTGGTTTTAAGTGTCTTCTGTCAACAAACATTATCTTCAAGTGTTGTGATGACTGTCTTTTTGTTCAGGAATATCTTCAATGTAAAAGTGGGTGGCACAGTGCACGAGGCTAGCAGCTGATTAATTTAATGTTCAGCTATAAGAAATTAAAACCAGCTGATAGCCGATTCACATATAGTTTAAGCTCAAGTTTATGGACTTCATTAACTCAGTCACAAGACTTCTTTATGTATTTGATCGGTGTTCTTTTCTGTCAGCTGTGGTTCTATTTTCTAATAGAATTTGTGATTGTTGTCCACTGTGTTTAAGTATTGAAGTATATTTGACCTTATCTACTGTGTAAAATTTTTTGTTTATTTTACTTGAATTATTTCATGAATTTACTTGTCTTTAGTGATTTGAGCTATTGACATTTTTGTTGCTAGACATATTGTTATAATTTATGGAAGCATGATCTTTTGTGGTGCTGAATACTTTAATGGGACAATGCTTTAATAACCTGATATTTAGATTGCTTGTGTCTGCATGTGATCTAACATGTTTTTTTGCTGATCTAGGGGCTAGTTGCTTTCTCCGAGAATGGATTAATGATCAGATGGTGGTCTCTGGGAACTGCTTGGTGGGAGAAGCTCAGCAGAAGTCTTGTTCCTGTCCAATGCACCAAACTCATTTTTGTTCCTCCAGAAGGCTTTTCACCAAGTTCTTCTCGCTCAAGCATGATTGCCACCATAATCGGGAATGATAAACGGGGCAATTCTCCGGTATTATATGAAATAAGGACATCTTGCAGTTTTATCTTCTGTATTGCCTTCCTGTGCCTGTGACTGTAATTATTTGCCTGTTAACTAGGCTATTTTTAATAAAATGAATTCTTGATTAGGTCGACTACTCAAGATCACACTCCACAATCTTTTAATTAATAAATACAAGGTTACCCAATAAATCAATTAACTTTTACAAATTGGTATAGAATTTGCATTTTTTTCATCGATTCTTCTACCACTGATCAACCTTTTCCAAATTCTTTGGTATGCCTGTCAAGATCATAAGTGTTCCATCTATTTTCCCATTCTTCACTGATCTATTTTTCTACTTACATTATCATTGCTTTTATTTAGTCAGATATGGATGTAAAAAATGTCCACTATCTTAGTTACCAAATTTTGCTTTGAGTCCCTTGATAGACAATCTAAACAGTTTTTACCTACTAGTTGCTTCATCGTCGGCTGTTGTTTGGAACCGTGACCTTTATTCTTAGAAGTTGAAAGTGGATGACTAAGTCTGAGAGTTTCTTCACCCTCTAAAGAAATTAACTTTTACAGCTTTGTGTTTCAGTTGCAACCTTACAGCTGCTTTGTTATAGATTTAGTTCTGTATCACATGGTGATCTTAATATTTGCAGGATAAGATAAAGGAACTAGATGATGCCGACGTGCTAAAGCTCTTAACTCACAGTCTCGATCTTTCATACCGGCTTCAGTGGGTTGGCGGAAAGAAGGTTGCACTTATCCGCCACGGTCTGGAGTTGGGAACATTTCAGTTGTGATACAAATCTTATTCCAGTGATTGAGATGGGGCCATACGCTGATGACAGTGGTCAAACGACAAGGTACATCTCCTATGCAGTTGCATTCTGGATTGGTCCACGGGTCATCAAATGACAACCGACTCTCAGACCGATACAGAACCTTTCATCTGATCACCAAATCCAATTTTTCCATCAGAGATCTATTTGGGATCTTTACATTGTGTGGTTCTGTCTGAGATTTACTTTGTTAGGACAAGATGTCTGAGATTTACTTCTAGCTGAAGAACCAGTGCCATTGATCTCATCGCGAGCCGTGCCAGCAACATCTCATAAAGGTGTAGTTGCAGACCATAGATTTGTGCAATATGGTAGATTTGCTTGTTCTGTTTTCCCATACCCTTTTTATATGACATGGGAAAGGAATTATGAAGAAGGATTTGCCTCAGTAGAGTTTCATTGGTGTGTATGTTCTTTATTATTACCTGGTGTCACTTGCTCCAATAAGATGTACCTTCCAGTTTCTGAATAATTACCTTGCTTTCTATTTTCTTGTTGGTTGGCAGAATATTTTTATTATTATTGCTGTTGTTGCAATGATTGTTTCTCTATTTTTCCGTTCGTTCATGTGTCACGATAATTCATTAATTTAGTTAGCCCTGTTTCGATTCGAATCGGAATCGAACCGGGCGAAACCGAAACCGACACCGACGGTGAATCTGAACATAATTGTGCCTATGTTGTTCAGTTTCAGTTCCGTCGGTCTCATGTTATTCATTTTCAGTTCTGTCGGAACCGTCGAGTCTAGAATCGGAGTCCGTCCGTCGGAAAACCGGAGTTCGTCCATCGGAACTATCGATTCTAGAACCGGAGTTCGTCTGAACTTAGCCTCTGAATGCACTGTAATTTAGCTTACTCTTGTCATCCATTTGTTGCTTGGGCTAATTTTGGGTTCTGTAGTGGGCTTATTATTTGGGCCCAATAGTCGAACTGTGAAGCCGACAAAGCGTATACAAAGACGTATTCAACTCGTATTCCTCTCTCTATATAATGCATGACGCAAGACCCTGCGGACGTCTCGTTCGCGGCTAGGGTTTTGTCGAGGGTGCCTTCGATGGTAAGCGCTTCCGCCCTCCTCTTCTCCTCCTCTCTGTCTTTCCGCTGTGGAACATCTTTTACTCCTCTTGATTTTGCAGGGGAAGGGAACTGGGAGCTTCGGGAAGCGGAGGAACAAGACCCACACCCTCTGTGTCCGCTGCGGCCGCCGCAGCTTCCACCTCCAGAAGAGCCGCTGCGGCGCCTGCGGATACCCTTCCAGCAGGATCCGCAAATGTGATTCATCCGACCCTTGGATCTCTCTTCTTCTCGTTACTTCCGGCTTTTGTCTCTTATGGTGGGATCTTGGTTCCTTTGGATCAGATAACTGGAGCGTGAAGGCGATCCGGAGGAAGACGACGGGGACTGGGAGGATGAGGTACCTCCGCCACGTCGCACGCCGCTTCAAGAGCAGTTTCCGCGAAGGTTGTTATCTAATATCATTCGAAGTCTCATTTTTTTAGGGTTCGTTTGCAGTTGTTTGAGTTTTTCCTGTTCCCGATGGTTTTTAGGTACGCAAGCAACCCCCAGGAAGAAGGCTGTGGCTGAGGCATAGTTGAAATACGCAGGAAAGAGTGAAATTTTTATTCATGGTATCGTTCTTCTTCTACTGCGAACTGTTTTGGATCTTCCAATTTAGTTTGTAGGTTCTCTTTTCACGGGAGCTCCATTGTGTACTTTGTTTTGTGGACTTCGCTTTAGAATTCACATCTTTGTCATACTGATCTAGATGAGTTTTGTCCTCTAATGTAGCTTTCATTTTCTGTACTATTTTTTGGTAGCTTTCTTTGTGTGCTCTCTAAATGCTTAATTTGGACATCCAATTGCTTACCCTTACTTTGTGTCCTCTAATGTAAATTTTGAGGATCTCACCTGTTCTAACTGGTAAAGACCTAGCTGATAAAGACCTATTGATAGTTTGAGGTCCTGAGATCAAATACTGACTTTACTTCTTACCACTTGCCAAAAAAGAAAAATTGTCCTCTCTGAATGCTTAATTTGAAGCTTCTTTTTGTCCAAAGTCAATACTGTTGGTCTGTCAGATTTATCTGGTCTTGTCAGGGTTTTAGGAGGCTTATGTGCTTGATCTGTTGGTCCCAGTAGAAGCTATACAGCAGTTCGATGACTTCTGTTAAAGTTGTGAACATCTGACTTCTTTAATTGTTTTGCAAGAAAAAAAATTAATCCTTGTGATGTTAGACGCGATTGGCATGGCTGGCTCCATATATGTTTACTTAATTTCAACAAATGTGAGCGTACACATTATCTATGGTTACTTTGTGGAAGGATTTGAAGTTTAACTTGAAGGTTTTTTGGGGAACCTAGATGCTACATCAAGGACAAATAGTGAATTAACCTAATTAACTGAAGTATTTTCTTGTGTATGATGAAAATATGTCAACTATGTGCAAGGGTATCACAAGTATTAACATGATATTGCGATGATAGAATCAGTTTGTGAACACTCTGATTGATTTTAAGAGGTTGTGGATTTCAAGATACAGGTATTAACCTTACAACCATGTTATAAAATTAATGGATCTGGATTTTGGTTGTATTCAAGAGGTTATGGAAAGCAAATTGAGTGGACATTCTTCTCAAGGTGAAACCTTTTAGTTATTGGTAGTTTGTGTTATTCAATTCTAGTTAAAGCTAGGAGGAACAGTATGTGTTTAATTCATGTACTTCAGGACTCAAGTACATGGGGGAAGGAGTGCAACAAGAAGCAAACACTGCAACTGTTCTTATTAAAGGTAGAACTGCTAATAGATAGCAGTGGTTTCACTAGTAAGATGAAAATTAACAATATGCACGCATCTCAAGTATCATGTTTGGGCCAAATTTTAGATAGGTTTTTTGTGCACCACTTAGGTTAAGGCTAAAAGCAGATGATGCATACGAAAGTTCCAAATCGGAAATGGTCAGGAGTTCTGAAAGTGAGACAGCAAGCAAGAGATTGAAAGAGAGTCCCAGCAAGCTACAATAGTCATAGCCAGATCCCCTTGCCCGAATTCAGGAAAACCTGAGTTAGAGAGCCCAACCAAGCCGAGTGAAAGATCAAATGATTGAGGAGGGATGGCTCAAGCCAATAGTTCATTTGTACCCTGAAATATGGATTTACTAGAATTACTAGAATAGATTCTGAAATTGCCTATTGACATAATTTGTAGTAGTAAGTGTAAGCATGGGAATAGCATATAAGCAGACATCAATTTTCTGTTATAAGGATTATTGTCAAACAATTCCCAAGATACTTTGATGAAACTGAGAGAAATTAGGATGAATAGTTGTTTCGTTGGATTTCAGCTATGAACTCCCATCCCTTGCGTGTAACTTCTGTAAATACAGAATCTCTTGATCAATATTTTGTGTCTTATGTTTTTTGTCATCGTCATTGGCCTTGTGTTTGAGGCAGTGCACTAATATCTGAGGTTGTACTATAATATTTCAGCTTCAGCAAGCAATATATTTTTATCAATGCTCACCAGTAGATGTTTCTCAAACAAAGCAGGTAAAAGTATGGTGTTGCAGATGATGGATTATTGCCCAGCTTGAGGTGTGTCATTCAACTAATCAGAGTTTGTGCTATGAGGAACCGATACACTGATGGAAGATGAGATTGCTGGATCAACTATATTATTATCCAAACATAGAATGATTCAAATATGTTCCCAGCAAGTTCTAATTTTCTGTACTTATTAGTTCCTTGTGTTCGAAATCAATAAATGCAGAGGATTGCTTCAATGTTTGGCATCATAGATTAAAGTGTGAAGTTGTAACTTGTGCTAGCAGCATAAACTGAGGAGGATTGCACATCAGGTGTTTGCTCTAATTCCCAAGAAGGTTCTTTGAATAGTCACGGAGGACATGGCTTGGCGTCTGCTCTTGCAGTTCGCGTGCTTTGAGATGCGCTTTTATGTCGTTAGTTATTTCAGAAGATCCTGACCGTCCGTCTCTACAGCGTCGAGGAGACCACCACTTTCGGCTTGACCGGCGCGGACGCCCAAAAGCATCGCAGCCGTCTACTCGCACCGGGCCCTACCGCATTCTCGGAGAACGAGCGGCCGGATCGTCAATGCACGCGTGCCACGCGATCTAACGGTCTGCTCGACGACTGGACCAGTCCATGAAATATCTGAAGCCACCCACGCTGGTTCCGTAAAACAAAAGCGACCTCGGAACGGCTGACGTGGCTTTCCGGGTGTCTGTCTGTGCACCGCCACGGTCCAGCAAGTTGGACCTTTCTGTCGATCGAGCAGTTGCCAAGTTCTGTGGGAACCACGTGTCCGTGCGGGAGGAGATAGCTGAACCCTGCTACGGATGAGATAAGCGAGCGTCGAGCGGGATAGCGCGGCTTCCCTTCAACGTGTGGCCGCCGCCCTCCTCCTCTTTGCCTGCGAGATATTTGCACTCCCAAGTCCCCCTCTCCTTATATTTGCCAATCCTTCAGGTCGTGGTAGCAGCCAATGCCGCCGCCCCTTGCCATGGCCACCGCCTCTGCTCAGCTCCACCTTCACCTCGCTGCTGACTTCTTCGACCATCTCGGCTCCAAGGACGTGACCCGACGTATCCGCGGCCCGAGGCTTCGGCCGCGCTTCGACCGGAACCCGGCCACTTACGACGGACTGTCCTTCTTGGGGCCAAGAATTTGCCGCCAGAGGGCGATCCCGCCTCTCCCCTGCCGATCCTTTAGGTCGGAGAACAGTGGGGAGGAGAGCGACGGCAGGATGGCGGTGGTGAAGGAAGAGAGGGAATCGAGGCAGTTGAAGCGCAAGGGTGCTCTTTACTCTTTCAAATCGATGCTCGTTACGCTTTCGGGTTCGGATTCGAGACCCGCGGGGCAGTACAGGAAGTACGTGGAGAAAACGGAAGAAATTTTCTTCTCGGTTAGCTCTTCTCTGACTCTTTTTCTTTCTCTTCTCTTTTTCGCTCAATCTGGTGCTTTTAGGTTTCACCTGCTATGTCCCAGGAGGAATTTTGGAAGGTAGAGTCTTTCATGAATCCATCTATCGTTGCTAAGCTTTCATTTTGATGAAATTAGCATAAGAAAAAGGAACTTTATTAGGAGGTAAGAAAATTATGTTATTTATACCAAATTACCCATGTCCTATGCTAAGTGACATGGGTATAACATCAATAATCTACAAATGAAATTATGCAACTACAAAGTATGCAATATCCGCCAACTGGTTCTTTTACACCTTCACAAGGTTTTTCATCGATGGCCTACACATTAATCTAGCATATATCAAAATAAATATTGCTTTGGGTCAAAGTTGCTCGGTTCTTCAAAGTTCAAACTGTGGACAATCCTGCACTTAAATATGGTTTGAATCTGGGCTACTACTTTCAGTAAAAACCCAAACTCGTCAACAATTTGGTACATACTGGCATACCTACCTCAAACTACTTGGCTAATTTTTTCTGTATTTACAATAGATTTTCGGCTGAATACTTGGGAAAGAGGACAATTCAAAGGTTTTAAGATGATAATGAAACAAATGCATCAAAGTTGTAAGATAAGATTTTTCAGTTTTGGCAATGTTCAATGCCATGAAGAGTTTTAGTCCAAACAAGCTTTAGGCGAGAGTTAAAGCCAAAATGTTAAGTAGAGAATACTGCATTTTCAGCAAATTTACTGCACAGTTCCATGCTTAGTTCATTATAAATATGAGAGTTACAGCCAAAATGTTAAGTAGAGCATACTGCATTTCAGCAAATTCACTGCACAGTTCCATGTTTAGTTCATTATAAATATAAGCATTAACTTGAGTTTCTGCTTGTTCTTTCATCACTTCTAACAATTGCTAATACTTAATTGTTGTTATCGTATGGACCGAAATTTTTTTGTATATCTATTCTCTCTCTCTCTCTCTCCTTTCTCCATCTGTTTATCTCTGTTCTTTGATTTTTTTTCTTTTTCTTTTTACAGTTCATAACACAGTTAGGAAGATATCTTGTCACCATGATGAGTACTGAAGTTATACTTGCAACTGGATTTCAGTTGTCAGGTTTGCTTTACTGTTTTACCATGTACAAAATCTTCCTTTTTTGCTTGGATTCTTGTAAATCACAAAGAAACTTATTTCTGCGTTCTTTTTATATTTTTTTATGACTATGAAGGTGGGGACAGTCAGATGAATACTCTGATTTGGTATAGCTGGCTTGGTGGAATTATTATTGGAACAATGATAGGTGCAAACATGGTTCTAGAAGAACATTGCAAAGCCGGGCCACGAAATGTTGTTGTTACCGGAAGGTAGTTCGTCTATGTCATGGTTTTAACAGAAGATAATGACTAGGAACGGCATGTAGATTACATGGAAAATGGATTTTATGACACATGTTCAGTAGGCTCATTCTCACTTAATTGTCATCGATTCTTACATTCATTTTTTGCATATTCAAAGCATGAAAAGAACCATCATGCAGAAATAATAAGAGAATGAACCAATGCATCAATACTTCACAGTGAAAGGAACCGTATGTCCAGCTTTCTTTTGTATATATAGTTAGAAAAATAATCTAGAGGTCTTCATTTCACTAAATATATGGTGCTTGTCTCTAAGATTAATTATGAGGATAAATGTTTACTTGTTACCGTTAGTTGTCTTTCTACCTTCTTTTTTATATGGCTTGATATAATTGCAATATAGGTCTTCAATCTGATGAATTTATGGTCCCTGATTACCACTTGGGTTAACAGTATGAAATTTTAACTGATAATGCTAGTTGATAATCTGGGAGCATTTATATTTTTGCAGTTTAAACTTTGAATAATTTTCTATTTAGACAGTGAACTGGAGATGCATTCATAATTTCTTTGGCATATTTTTTTCAGCACAAGGGGGTTAGGCAAGGCACTTGCTCGTGAGTTTCTTCTATCAGGAGACCGTGTTGTCATCGCGTCCCGCAGGTTGTATTCAGTGCCTTGGAATCTCAGTAAATGACTATGCTTTAAAGATCCCTTGCTTTTCTGTCAGTGTCTACCTTCTATATCAATCTTTTTGAGCCTTAGTGTTCCAACTTGGTTTCTTGACCGCAGCCCTGAATCAGTTCATCAGACAGTGGAAGAGCTAAGGGAAAACCTAAAGGAGGGTATTTCTGTTTCTGGAAATAAAGCCAGAAAAAATTTATCTCATGCTATGGTTGTTGGTATTGCCTGTGATGTTTGTAAACCAGAGGATGTAAGAAAGTTGGCAAACTTTGCTGTAGCTGAATTGGGTTCAGTGGACATCTGGGTAAGTCTTTACACTTTAGACATTCTTAGCATCTGGGAAAACTCTCAATCCTTGCTTAACGTTACAATTATCATCTTTTAAATTCAATAAAATTAGCACTCTGTTCATCTGATAGCCTTTTGTCCAATGCTATCTACAGATCAACAATGCTGGCACTAACAAAGGTTTCAGACCTTTGCTGCAGTTCACAGATGATGATATTGACCAGGTTTGTAATCATTATTAGACATTATAGCAACTTACTGACACTTAATACCAGCTAGAAATTCACTGATGTTGGGACTAACAAAGGTTTACATGCTTTTCAGTTGTTTATTGCATGCAGTCTTCACCTACATATTTTAACAGCATTTATTTACAATGAACTGATATTCTCAAAGAGCAGATTTAGAGAATTCATTCGTCTTTATACAAATAATTTTTCTGTGATGAATAGATGGGATTTTTTTAAGTAGTTGTCATGCATGTTATATCTGTTACTGGAACAGTCCAATGGGTAGGCACATTTCTGGTTCTATGACAGGTAATATTCTTTGTATTGGATTTAGTTTATTCTAAAAATGTTCTGCCATATATTTATGTTGTTATTTGCTGATGACATTAATTTAATTGAGGATTGTAGAATAGAGATGAATATGCATGGGCTTCACAATAGCTAAGACTAAAACAATGTCAAAGCATATCTAAAGAGAAGACTTATCTTAAAATCCAGACCTATTTATTTATACAGTAAGTCAAAACTACTTTTGTGTTAGAACTAAGTTTCTTGAGTTTCCTAAATGTCTTCTCCTAATTTTGGGGATTGAAGAGAGGAAAAAGCAATTTTAGTTTAATTCCTGATTTCTGTCAAACATTAAGTTTATTAGGAATCCTTTTTATAAATACAAAAGCATCAATTATTTTCCCAAAACATGTCAAATGGTACACACGTTGTTGTACATGTGTTAGTAACTGCACCCTCTCACTTTGGTAATTTCATTAATGCCAGAAAGTTCCGACATTGGGAATGACATATCACTCTAAATTGAAGTTTGACTTCTCTCTTCCTTGGCTTTTACTAGTTCCATATTTCTGAATTGTTAGATCGTCTCGACAAACTTGGTTGGTTCTTTACTCTGTACAAGAGAAGCAATTCGTGTCTTGGGGTCCCAAGGCAAGGGGGGGCACATATTCAACATGGATGGGGCAGGTTCTGGTGGATCAAGCACACCATTGACAGCTGTGTATGGCTCGCACCCTTATTTATCACGTAATACTTTGTTTATGTGCAGAGACGTAACATCTAAAGCATGAGTCCAACATCACATGACTTGCATGCTAATATTATTTTGAGACATTTATTATTGAACAGTATGTTCTACGTAATGGCATATATCTAATTATCGAAATGAAACCATTTTCTGAATTTAAATAATATGGTGGTTTGCTGGGACTCACCAGATCAACTTCTGAACTTGTTGGGCCCAGTTGTTTCTGATGATATATGTGTGTGTATGTGATCGTAGAATGCGAGTTCTATTAAAACAATCTCTGGTTGTCCAGAACATGGTACCAAATATCATGGTATCCTGG